AACACTTTTGGGTATATATTTTATCCATTTTCAGCAGAAAATTACTCAAACTTAGTCAGAATCATCTTTGGTGAATGAGAGTATTACTTTGTAAAATTGGGATTCCTGCCCCATCCCAGGGGCTAGGACGGGGTCCCAAAGGGAACATTTACCAATATTTTCAAATTCTTATCCTTTGATGACATGACAAGTATTGTATTTCACTTAGTTTACATGCTGATTTCCACATCACATCTAAACAATAAAATAAAGCTACCAGTACCTATGATATAACTCAGGTGACTGCTAAGGCCCTTGGGCCTCTTGTATTTAATTTAGGATTCCTTTACTCACTCAAAGTTGTAATCAGTTAACGTGTGCAGTGTGGCATTGAATACCTTGTTCATTGACCAGTACAGGGTTCATGAAGGACGTAAAATATGTAATATTAAGATTGATAGTGATTACATAATTTGTAGACAGCGACGATTTAATATTTCCCATTTTCAGGTTGCAGATACATCATTTGATTTGCCAGAGGCAAATGTCCTGATTCAGATCTCAGCCCACGGTGGTAGTCGTCGACAAGAGGCCCAGAGATTGGGCAGGATTCTCAGGGCAAAGAAAGGTAAGCTGGACAAAGAAGGTGAAAAAGGCACGAGAAAGTCCTGGTAAGAATGTTATGCAGAGAAAGTGAGAGGAAAAATCTTGGAGCAAAGTCAGGACTAAAAACAGGGAAAATCTCTGTTAAACATCAAAGTAGTCCATAATAGTACATGATAATCAAATCTGAATTAATTTTACATGGTTTCAAGTCTGTCTAAATTTGTGACATGTCCAAGTTTTGAAGTGAGATTCAATATATTCTTTATGGACCCAGCTATCAAGATACAAAAACAACAATTGCTCAATGCCATAGCCTTGTTCCCCTCAGAAAACAATTGCTCCTTGCCAAATTACTTAATGCCATAACCTTGTTCCCCTCAGAAAACAGCAATTACTCACTGCCATAGCCTTGTTCCCCTCAGTAAACAACAATTGCTCACTGCCATAGCCTTGTTCCCCTCAGATAACAACAATTGCTCAGTGCCATAGCCTTGTTCCCCTCAGATACCAACAATTGCTCACTGCCATAGCCTTGTTGCCCTCAGTAAACAACAATTTCTCAGTGCCATAGCCGTGTTCCCCTCAGATAACAACAATTGCTCACTGCCATAGCCTTGTTCCCCCCAGATAACAATTGCTCACTGCCATAGCCTTGTTCCCCTCAGTAAACAACAATTGCTCACTGCCATAGCCTTGTTCCCCTCAGATAACAACAATTGCTCAGTGCCATAGCCTTGTTCCCCTTAGTAAACAACAATTGCTCACTGCCATAGCTTTGTTCCCCTCAGAAAACAACAATTGCTCACTGCCATAGCCTTGTTCCCCTCAGATAACAACAATTTCTCAGTGCCATAGCATTGTGCCCCTTAGTGAACAACAATTGCTCACTGCCAAAGCCTTGTTCCCCTCATAAAAAAAATAGCTCAGACCCATAGCCTTGTTCCCCTCAGTAAACAATAACTGCTCACTGCCATAGCCTTGTCCCCCCCAGATAACAATTGCTCACTGCCATAGCTTTGTTCCCCTCAGAAAACAACAGTTGCTCACTGCCATAGCCTTGTTGCCCTCAGTAAACAACAATTGCTAACTGCCATAGCCTTGTTCCCCTTAGTAAACAACAATTGCTCACTGCAATAGCTTTGTTCCCCTCAGTAAACAACAATTGCTCACTGCCATAGCCTTGTTCCCCTCAGATAACAACAATTGCTCAGTGCCATAGCCTTGTTCCCCTTAGTAAACAACAATTGCTCACTGCCAAAGCCTTGTTCCCCTCAGTAAACAACAATTGCTCACTGCCAAAGCCTTGTTCCCCTCATAACAACAATTGCTCAGTGCCATAGCCTTGTTCCCCTCAGATAACAACAATTGCTCATTGTCATAGCCTTGTTCCCCTCAGATAACAACAATTGCTCACTGCCATAGCCTTGTTCCCCCCAGATAACAATTGCTCACTGCCATAGCCTTGTTCCCCTCAGTAAACAACAAATGCTCAATGTCATAGCCTTGTTCCCCTCAGATGACAACAATTGCTCAGTGTCATAGCCTTGTTCCCCTCAGTAAACAACAATTGCTCACTGCCATAGTCTTGTTCCCCTCAGATAACAACAAATGCTCAATGTCATAGCCTTGTTCCCCTCAGATGACAACAAATACTCACTGTCATAGCCTTGTTCCCCTCAGATGACAACAATTGCTCAGTGTCATAGCCTTGTTCCCCTCAGTAAACAACAATTGCTCACTGCCATAGCCTTGTTGCCCTCAGTAAACAACAATTGCTCAGTGTCATAGCCTTGTTCCCCTCAGGAAACAACAATTGCTCACTGTCATAGCCTTGTTGCCCTCAATAAACAACAATTGCTCACTGTCATAGCCTTGTTCCCCTTAGTAAACAACAATTGCTCACTGCCATAGTCTTGTTCCCCTCAGTAAACAACAATTGCTCACTGCCATAGCCTTGTTGCCCTCAGTAAACAACAATTGCTCACTGCAATAGCCTTGTTCCCCTCAGTAAACAACAATTGCTCACTGCTATAGCCTTGTTCCCCTCAGTTAACAATAATTGCTCACTGCAATAGCCTTGTTCCCTTGTTTGTAGGTGCAGTTGCTGAGGAATACAATGCCTTTTTCTACTCGCTGGTCACTCAGGATACCATGGAGGTGCATTACTCGTTGAAACGTCAGAGGTTCCTCGTCAACCAAGGTTACAGTTACAAGGTTATCACAAAGTTTGCTGGTCTGGAGGAGGTACGTTTGATAAGTCAAGAAAATTATAAACAAATAATAAGAGTGGAACCCGGAATTTCATTTGACCCTTGAAATTTAGTAATTTCAGAAGGAAAATAATATTTTACCTGACATTTTCATACAAATCCAAGGTCGTTTTGGGGAGTCAAAAAGTACTCTAATAGATCTTCTGAAAGCCATGAAAACTTGGTTCATTTGCCTTCAGGCACCAGTTTTACAAACATTCTTTAACTTTACTTAAGGAACATGCAATTGCCTGACTGAAAATTTTAAGAACAGATTACTTAACTCATTCACCCCTGAAATTTCATTATGAACTATTCCAACCTATGAATTTGGAGAGTTCAAATGTGTCTTCAGGGGTGAATGAGTTAAGTTTGGTTTCTTAATTCTTTTCCTTGATATCATTAATGGTTACCTATGGAAAATGTTCAAGTTAAGGAATTTCTTGAGTTACGGAATGTTTGTGAATCTGGGGCCTGGTATAAACAGAAACTATCTAGATATAAGCAATTTTTTTTGTTTGATGGAAATCCAAGAGTTTGTTTCCTCCTTTAGACCCTGGATGTTACTCCATATATATATACCACAATACTTCTGGAGTCTTTTGGAGAAATACACAGTATCTCCCTTGTGAATATAAAACAACTATAACATGATGAAGACAGCACTTGTAACAACAATATACACAAAAGCTCTCTACATATTTTTTCTTTTGGTCCAGAAAGAAATGAATGTTTCGGCTATGGGCTCCCAGAATAAAAGTAATGCACCTTCCATTTCTTGTGCCCCCAGGAGAACATACAATATGCAGGTTTCTTTCATGTACCCAAAGGAGAAATGCAATAAATTTGTCCATTTGTTGTGCCCCAAGGAGAATTTTGTGAATGTGTCCCATTCAAGATTTGATGCCGTGCCAGGTCGCGGTGGCTGAGTGTTTAAGACATCTGACCATCTATGAACACTAGGTTGCAGGATTGAGGCCTATATAAGGCAGTTACCAGACACTGGCTGCAAGTCAGTGGTTTTTCTCTGGGTATTCCAATTTTGCTCCATCACCAAAACCTGACTCATCCTTAAAAACGACCATAGCTCTAAATAAGATATAAAGCATAAATGTATCAAACCAAACATGTCACCTATTTGTTTCTGTAGGAGACCTTGGCCTATAAGACCAAGGATGAACAGATGCAACTGTTACAGAAGGTGTTGGCAGCCACAGAACAGGATGCTGAGGAGGAGCTGGGCGCTGGAGATGGGCTTAGACCTCAGGTAGATTCTTGTCAGACTTTGATATTCATTAAAATTCTTTTATGTCGATCATTTAAACGAAGTTGTTCCTCATATTTTTCTTGATATCAATTGTATAGATCAGCATTTCAGGTCTTAATCATTAAGATAAGAAAATGAAAAATTATATAAATCAAAATCTGTCTCACAGTTTTAATAGATGAACATAACACACACAGGTGATTGTACCTTCTAACAAAACAGTCTATTTAATACCAGTTGTTCAAAGCTGGTTAGCTTAATTATAACTTAATACAAAACTTTTGTTCTGTATTTTTTCAGAAAGAAAAAGTATCAAAACAAAAACTACACATATATAGGCTCAAAAGGATCATCTGAAAACAGAAATTTATAAATATTCATAAAGTTTGAGATATTTCTCTAAATAACGTCTTAAAAAATAACATTAATGACTCATTAAGCTTAACAGGTGTTCAAACACTGGCCCTAGATATCTTTTTGTACTTTGTTACAATAAATGAAAAATCTGATTTAAATTAAACTCATAGTTTTCTGATAATGTTAGTATGGTGCTAACTTGGTATTCTAGGCAGTTTGTGAGACACCTTCAATTATAATATTTTATTACTGTAAAAGACTTTCAACATTTGATTAACCTTATTTTTTTTAAAGATTTTCTGTAATATGTTAAAGTAACTTTGTTAAGTTTCTAATTTTTGTGGAATTGCAAAAATGGTCAATTTTGCAGGATCTTATTTTCTTGACATATATCTCGTCTCGTTGCCATGGCAGTAAGGATCAAAATTTGTGAAAATTTAAACCAAATGAAAAAAATATCTTTTTGGTAGGTCATGATTTGATTATTATAAATTTAATCTCATATTTCAATATTTTTGCAGATGGCGAGGAAGGCAGGCAGCATGAGCTCCATGTCGGGGGCTGATGATGCTATATACATGGAGTACAGAAACAGGAAGGGACGTTCTGATAACCTACACCCACTGTTCAAAAAGTTCAGGACAAAATAGATACAAACTATAGACTGAAAGCGAGACTAAGGTGTTGCTTTTCCAGCGACGGCGTCAACATGAGTTTTTTGCATTTAAGTTAGTTTCTCTGAAAGTATAAGTGTTACACCAACTGAACTTGGACCATAGATGCATCTTGGTTAGTACATCTCAACCCATGTATCAAATGCTGGATGCGACCTACCTTTCATGGTCCTTTGACTTTGTCAGCATCTCCATCAACATTAAGTTTTTGTGTTTAAGTTAGTTTCTCTGATATGTGCACTGATGGTCAAAGCGGGGCATAGGCGAGACATATCAACTGAATGGCTTGTTTACAAAATAAATGTGCGAAGGGCAGACAATGCTTGACTAGACTTTGTGAGATAAGTTGAAGAAAAGAGAACGTTTTGTGGTTACACAATCAAAGGAGGTCGTTTACATCAACTTATCAGAGATATCTCGTCTGGTCATTTATTATGAGCCTGACCTTCAGGTATCTGATTCATTTGTTTATTCTTGTCAAGTATCTACACTGTTAGCCCGTTTTGACTGGATGTCTTTGAAGAAATGTACTTAAATCAAGCTCTTGTATGAAGTTTACTATTGAGTCAAGTCTTACTTAAGTCGTGTTTCAGTTTTAAAAGTGCTGTTTTGTTTGATATTGTTTTTCTAAAGAAAATTTAATGGATCATAAAGTAAACATTCCCCGTATCATCTTTTGCATGAATATGGTCCCTGCCGGTCATATTCTGATAACCTTAACTATCATTGAACTTTCAAAACCCTCTCAAATACAGAGCTTCTTTTATCCGGCCCCCACTGATCTGATTGGTCCACAATCTGGCCTGGGTTTTAGGGGACATATTGGCCTTACCTACAATTTGGTCTGTGTTTTAAAGGACAGATTTGTCTTTTCTATAATCCAATCATTGCACAGTTGGAGATCACAATGAATCTGAAATAATTGGAGAATTTGATTGACGTATTGCATTTGCTATTGGATATGAATGGAAGTTACATGTATGTGTGACATATTCAGTGTATGAAAGTCAACGGGAGATATTGTTTGAATGTGTCTCAAATTGAATGGTTTAAGAAGTGAATAAAACCATCTGAAGACAACAAGCAGTTTTATATGTATGATTTAATACACATTGAGCTCTGTTATTACGATTTCTTGTCTTTATGATTATCAAGGGCAGGACGTGGTTTCCAAATATCGGATGACAACTGCAGTTTTGTAACTCTGATTTCTTGGACTTCATTGTCTATCTTTATAGTAAAACACACTCTGAACTGTGTAATTAAGATTTGTTGTCTAAATCAATGTAGAAGAATCTTCAGACAAGGACATGGCTTCCAACTATCCACCAAAACAAATTATACCTATAGCAAAATAAGTTTTAGGTATATTCCATGTTCATTATATAGGTTTTAATGCTTCCACCAAAATCAGAGAGGATTATGTTGTCTATCAGTAGTTCAGATCGTCCGACTTCAACCACTCTGTGACCACAACTTATCCAACTCTTCGACTGAATCTCATGAAATTTGGCAGTTTTGATGAGAATCATAATATGATTTGGATATTGTAAAACGGAAATGCTGTGATAATTTTTACATAATTGTGTTCGGTTTTTTTCCATTTCTTAACCACATTTGAACCTCGTATTAAATATGAATGAATGAAAAGATATTGGCAAAGGGAAGCAATCCTTATAACAATTGTAAAGTTTACAAGAAACAAAAGAACCTTGCGTTATTGCTCGCCCATGAAGTAGAATCTGCTTTCAAAATTATTCACATCCAAGATATAATCAACGTTCCTAAATACTGAAGTCCAAAAGTAATATCTTGTTATTTTTCACTTGATACATTTTGCTACAAGAATGTGTCCGAAAGGTTTTGATTGTGACAGTTGGTATGTTGTTTAAGTATAAAACTTAAAAATGAAAAAAATACTATTCTTGAAACCCTGACCTTTCAATATCAGAATCATTTGCAATGTAAGTAATGCAAGTTTCTTAAGTCGCCAGTGACATGTGTTTCCCTTTCACCATCTTAGTCATCCTTTATACTCCAGCGGTAACACATCGCGAAAATGAACCTAATCCATGGAGTATTGAGTTGGGCTGTCACAATATATCGGAAAACAGGTATATCGCAATACACTGGTATATCGACCGTATCTTACCACAATACAGAGATGTAATATTGCCGTATCGCAATATTTTTTTAAAAGCTAATTTTTATGTATCTAATTCTGCTTGGTGTTTTAACTTTGGAAATTACTACAAATTCCAACCAATAAGCATATAACAGGCTTTTGATAGTGGTGGGAATAAGTTCAAATTTTGTAATCAATGGTAGGTTTGACAAAAATCTTAAATCTATGTGATCCATATTATATATGATTAAGTTCGATAACATTCTGACAACAACTTATAAAATTGAGCACATCCTTCATATGACAATATATCGGGATACGTATCGCAATATATATTCATTCTGTATTGCAATACATCGTGATACACTCGGCGTATTGTGACTCCCCAATACATAATCTACGATCAAACAGTTTGATGGGGATGTAACGCAGGTATAGGCATTGTCAGAGGATAAAGGTACCACCCCTAAATTCAATTGAAGAGCAGTTTAATAGACATTTGACTCATACATGGAATCGGAGGGAAAACGACTCTTGAGAGGGTTACTATCAGTCATTGTTGGATAGAGCTGTGACGCCTGGCGTGAACGCTCGCGTGATTTCTTTCTTTCTACATCTGCACAACAGCTAAACTAATTACAGCGGTACTACTAACGTTAATGCAAGAAGGACTCTAAAACAATTTTAAATTGCAAGCTCACATGATGTTATAACTTTCTAGACAATTTATGTGTACCATGTGACCCTGGCTGTTGCGAGGACACCAACCCCATCAAGCAAATTATTAATGTGCCATGCCATCACAGGCTGTCCTGGAAAGGGGCTCATCAGTGGTGAGAAGGGAGATACCATCGTAATTAAATGGTCAAGGAAAAAAAGACCGTTAATCGAAGTGTTTTAACGAGAACCAACATATTCACTTAGGTGTCGTCGGTTTCGTCAATAAGAGGTTGTGGATGAAAATCCCAGAGTTGGACATCCCAGTTATAACTGCATTTTAAAAATCACGCGAGTTCATACAGCGAGAAGCTATTTCCCTCTTGACCTGCACCGGTGATGATTGAAAAAATGGAAATGCTTTTCTCCGAACATTCTGGGAAGTTTTCGGGACTTTTGTTAAAAGATGTGTCGGCCTTTACGAACAAGCTAAAAACGTTACACTACATGCACGCCCAGCGGATTGATAAAAGGGTATCAGATATCGGAACTAGGGACAGAAAGACAAATTCAACTTTTAGAAGTAAAGAAATCTTTATTGAGTGAAATTGTAGGGTTTTCCCGAACAAATGCCAATTATCTGTTAAGTACTTAAACGGCTTTTCAAAGCAGTGAAACATCTTGTACAAGTACCGCACTTGCGATATCCCGTCTTGGATATACAGGAAAGCAGAACAAGAGGATATAAAAAGCAAAAGAACAGTGCTTTACAATATTTACACATGTATTTAATAAACCCAGGAGATGGAAAATATAGTTAAAATTAGTTAAATAGAAAACCATAGAAATTCATGCAGTGCCTTTCATTGAAAATGATATTCGGCATCAGCAAGCAAACCAAATGTGCTGGGCAGAACGATCATAAGCCAAAAGTGGGAAAGTGGAAGAAATAAAAGGCATCGACAGTGGATAAGGAAAAGTAACATTGGATATTACTCCTATGTTTTTACGGTCATCAACATGGCAAAATTCCATAGTATCATAATTACGATGTTTAGCATGGCTGAATACTTCATCGTTCATCGGCCCGTATTACTCGGAAAAGTAGAATACAAATAGCAAGACCAAGCATTGTAATCCATACAGGTAGTCCCATATAGCTACTTGTAGTACCTGCACACAAACTTCGGTATTGACATTACAAAAAAGACCAAGGGCCATAATATTGTCTAAAAAGTTGGAAACGAAACTAAATTTAGGTTTGCGACACTGCGATTACATGTGGCGCAATTTGTCAATTTTAGTTAAGTTTCATTTTTTACACAACATCAGTAACATCATATGTTCCCCATAATTAGAAATCAGAGTGCACCTACCATTCCTTACGCTAATCTAAAATTGTTTCTTCAAAGGTTTTTCATTTTGAATGGCGTACACTCATCTTTCTTGTTCTATTTTATTCTATTTCAGTTCAATCGGTTTTGTAATTACAGGGGACATCAACTTAGAATTGTTAGATCATATAACTCTCTGAGATTTTACTTATCAATGGCCAGAAAGATTGAGAACATTACCCTTCATTTGGCAGAAAGGTTCAAAGCACATGAACGCTGTTGAGGATCATGCTAGAAAATTGACGAATCAAGTTAAAAGTTCAGGAAGATAAAGCAGGGTAAAGCAAGAATGTGGACGTCACCTTTCTCTAACTTGAACATGACCTTGCTGCCAAAGAATATTTTGCCAACTTCCATGATTTAATCGTACCAGATGATAAAGCTTAAACATGTAGCTAAATTAACTTAATGAATATATGTAAACAATCCGGTAGCATTCAAATACGAGTTTTCCAAATATCTGGCGATTCTTCTGGAGACTGAAATGTCTATCCTTGTCAATAATGATTTCTATTGAGTTCAATATGTAGGTGATAGATAAAATGCGAATAGTCCTATGAATACTATACATTATGGTCTCAAAGTCCTTTTTGTCTAAAATTGTCATGGATACGAATATTCTGTTTAGAAATGTGATGATTTTAACATTACACTTCTTTTAAAAAAAGAACACACAGAGGGTGGAATTGTCTGCGTGATTACTTTTATGGAACACTGTTAAACTTGTTATTGGAATAAACTGCGCCGCTTGTAGTGGATATGCATGGGCTATTAAAGAAAAAAGAAAAGATATTTACATATTGTCATATTATATTATAATATTTATATTGAAATGTATTGATAATGTTTGATGGTTGAATATTCAACTATTTCGAGAACATGCATTTTATTTATCATCTTAAATTTAAAGCTTCTGCAGACTACCCTCCTTTAGCCTTATATCATTACATTTGTCTCGGTAGAGTCAGAATAATGACAACATAATTACCAAAATGATAAGGCACTGCACTACATGTTGACATTTACCTACTGTTTACTCTAAATGATGGTCACTTCACAACAAGTCTTACCTAAAGTATGGTCAGATTAATGGTCACATCAAAACAAGTCTTACCTAAAGTATTGTCAGAATAACAGTCGCCTCACAACAAGTCTTACCTAAAGTATAGTCAGAATAATGGTCACCTCACTACAAGTCTTACCTAAAGTATAGTCAGAATAATGGTCACATCACAACAAGTCTTACCTAAAGTATGGTCAGAATAACAGTCGCCTCACAACAAGTCTTACCTAAAGTATAGTCAGAATAATGGTCACCTCACAACAAGTCTTACCTAAAGTATAGTCAGAATAATGGTCACATCACAACAAGTCTTACCTAAAGTATGGTCAGAATAACAGTCGCCTCACAACAAGTCTTACCTAAAGTATATTCAGAATAATGGTCACATCACAACAAGTCTTACCTAAAGTATGGTCAGAAGAATGGTCACATCACAACAAGTCTTACCTAAAGTATGGTCAGAATAATGGTCACCTCACAACAAGTCTTACCTAAAGTATAGTCAGATTAATAACAGTCGCCTCACAACAAGTCTTACCTAAAGTATGGTCAGAATAACAGTCGCCTCACAACAAGTCTTACCTAAAGTATGGTCAGAATAACAGTCGCCTCACAACAAGTCTTACCTAAAGTATGGTCAGAATAACAGTCGCCTCACAACAAGTCTTACCTAAAGTATGGTCAGAATAACAGTCGCCTCACAACAAGTCTTACCTAAAGTATGGTCAGAATAACAGTCGCCTCACAACAAGTCTTACCTAAAGTATGGTCTGAATAATGGTCACCTCACTACAAGTCTTACCTAAAGTATGGTCAGAATAACAGTCGCCTCACTACTAAGCTCTGATTTTTACCTACAATATAGTCGGAATAACGGTTACCTCTGTACCGTACTATAAGACAAAAGGTAATTTTACTTTCAAAATCGTCCCCTTTCCCTTTCATCAAAGATAACATGTTAGCATCCCCTACCCGTAGAGTTTATATTCCACCAAGTAACACTATATGTACAACTTGTAAACCAGTAGTACCGCTACCCATTTTAAACCGAACAGAAAGCAGAAAACAACAAATACCATTCTTGAAGACTTTGGTTTGTCTCGAACAGAGAACAGAACCCAGAACCGCTCTCGCTTCGATGAATGCTCAACACCAATGCCGAACGAGATGTATTGCCAATTGCTGTAGGAGTTTGGAGTCCTCTATTTGAGAACACAAAGGGGTATCCCCGAATCAGCCGGGATTCTCCACATAGGTCGCCTCTTGCTACATGCAGTGAGTAACAAGAGGTGTTTTTTTTTTGTTATTTCTGACCTGCAATTCACATAAGAACATACAATCGTCATGATCTACAACTGCAGTGTTTTAATATACATGTACAATGATTGCATGGTGACTCATGTTTCAGATTCTGTAATTCGGGGGAGACATCTTGACGGGTGCCACAGTGATACAGGAAACGCTTACCCTTCCAGTGAAACTGATTTCACCTTAGGCCTATTCGTGGGTACCGGTGTTCGTGATGTCGTTCCTTTAGATTCAGTTCTTTGTCAGTTCATGTTATTATCTTTTTGTGTTAACTGATCTTTTCCTTGTATATTTACGTTGTGAAATTTACCATGTCTATCGGACAGACGTTGTTCATTGTGTATGATATTAATCTGATTTACGTTACAGACCGTGCAACTGTATAATGGAATTACTTACTCGTTACTAGATATAACTAAATATTTAACACTAAAATTCATTCTTGATAAACTATATGTTTCTCTACGTTTTTAATCAATGCAATCAATTAAGGGGTGTTGACAGTAGTTTAGACCGGTTTGGATTTTAGTCTTTTTGGTAATATCCTAGAATCGCCGATTAGTTCTAACAGGACGAAACAGCTATGGTGCAGTGTTATACAGTTGGGCATGCTTTATCTATTATCAAATGTTAAAGGTACAGTCAACTGTATGTGTCGTACGCTTACCTTCTAAGACGCATTGATGTGATTTTTATTATTTTAGGGAAAACACTAACAAAGTGTGAAAGTTGTTCGTAATTTATACTTACATATAAGTATTTGTTGAAAATTAAGAAAGCCTTTGTTAAATGATGTTTTCATGTGACATTTGACGCTCCATTAAACAAGAAACCTGAAACCCTTCGGGGTACTCGCGAGTGATATTGTACGCGAGTAAACGTTTGTACGTGTCGCACCCCTCGGGTTATATCCATTATACTTCAATGGAAAACTAAATTACGTTGATACCATTATCAATTCAACGAACAATACATTATACAACACTTTCTTTAGTTAGTTAAAGTCAATGCTAAAATGAACATGTAAACTGTTATATATTTAATGAAATATACTTATTCTCGACAAAGGCATGTTTCACACGTCTATAATGATTCTAATAAGATGTGTTTATTGACACCAGGAAAAATGTTTCACTTATTTAAATGTATCAAAACTGGATATATAAGCATGTTTTCTATTTTTTGTTTTCGCCAAATACGGAAGGATATAACCGGGAATATGAAGATGTGTCCTGATATACCTAACATCTCTTATAACAAACAAACATAACCAAGCACGCGTAGATGCATTGATCAAGGTGACACTTTATTGTGTTGACTTATTTTGATATTGATTCTTTACAAGCTTTGCTCAGTCTGTTGCCATTGATCATGTTTTAATCCACAAGGCGACGCCATATTGAATCATGGCGGGTGAACCAGTAATCAATGCACGTGTCACTTCCGGTCTATGATTTCAAATGAAGACGTTCATTATTGAGGAATTAGCTTGGAGTGTCTGATAAACATCGAAGGTAATATTGTTACTTTTTATTTGTCAATAATGTGTGGCGTTCTTTTGAAATATTGAATTGTCATTGTTAGTCATTACATATTTTATTTACCGTCTGTAACTTATTAACAACTTCACGTCACCGGTATATATATCCACGGAACTAAGTCCGTGATATATCCCAACTTTGATTTCGATTCGTTTATGTCAGGATGTCAGGTGTCAGGATGTCAGCATTTGGAATTAATTTAATTGTAAAAACTTTGTACTTTCAGAATAACATTTACTTTCAGTCACTTTTCAGTTAATTAAAATAAAAAATACACAGTTTCAGTATAAATGATACTTTTAGTATAATATGCACTCAGCTGTATAGACAAGAGAAATAAGCATGCGTGTGTATCTGTTCCGGCCGTTAGAGAAACTTCTAAGAGATTAGTTAATCACTTATGAAATTGATATTTCTATTTTTGCAAGTAACGTCAATTTAGGCCTATACACTGAATAAAGCACATACGTTAGCACGTGTAGCCTCACTGAAATATCTATTTATATCAATATTTGGTATGTCAAAAACATACTCCATTGTGTGCGGCCGTATCGATCTGTGACTGACGAAGATTATGTTATGTTGGCACAGCTTTATTTTATTGAATGGAGTTTATGAATTTTCTCGCTTGTTGCTTACGTCGGAATTGCTTACTTGGTCTTTACATTGTTATTGATCAAGTCATAACGTCATACGTGCACAGGTTTTTTTTTATTGAGAAGAGTATATGAATTATCAGTTATTTTCATTCGTCTATGTTAATTTTGTATTTAGATTTTAACCACCTGCCGGGCATCAACGTGGTTACGTATATTAAAACTTGGTTACGTATATTATAACTTGGTTACGTATATTGTAACTTGGTTACGTATATTGTAACTTGGTTACGTATATTATGACTGTGTTTAAATACAATAAGAAATGCCACACTATGTCACCTTTACCTAACTGAAATGTCAATTTATTGTGTGCAGCAAGTTACTGTAAAAAATGTCAGTAAAAGTGTTGTATCGTGTTTGGATACACCATCTTTGCTATAGGGCCTGTCACACACTACCGATGTACCTCGCCGGGACTAAACCGGAGCAAAAAAATAACAACGGCGAGAAAATCGGCAGAGCTCTGGATAGAAAGCACTTGAAAAATCAAAATTGACCGTAGCAATACCGATAAAGTACCGGCGTTCCCGTTGTGATACCGTTGTTCTATCGATGTAAGAGCCGATGTGCTACCGAATACCACTGCGCCGTCGATGTTATACCGAGGAGCCGTCGTGGTTCTAACGATATGTCACCGTTGACCGGAGCTTTATGCGCTGCCGATGTTACGGTAGTACATCGTTGGTACATCGGCGGCGCATCAGTACTACTTCGGTGGTATTCGGTAGAACTAAGGTATCACATCGGTATCAGTACGGTACACACTGAGGCCACCGGAGAGCCGCCGATCCATTACGGGGCGCTACCGGTGCTCTACCGACAGTACTGCCGATGTACTGCCGTTGTAGTCCCGTTGCTTGCTCCGGCAGCGCTACGGCGAAACGTTTTGAGCATGTTCAAAAAATGCCTCCCGTCGCCTGCCGTTGTTAATTTTTTCGCCGATGTCCTGACGATGTACTACCGTTCTTAGCGATGTGATACCGTTGCGCTGCCGTACTAATACCGATCCCGGAAAATCGCCAAATTTGTGCTCCGGTATAGCTCCGGCGACCCAAATCGGCTAGGTGTGACAGGCCCTTAAGTAGAGACACGTGCTTTCTTTCGAGTTTGAAAGAGGTTTCAGCTGGTTTACCTCCACAATCATACATTTAACGATTTTTGTTTCTGGATGTGTTATAAGAAGGATAAAAGATGATAGTGATCCCAATTAATAGAATTACATTCCATAGGCACACACCCAGAGTGGAGCTGTTTTATTATTCGGAACATATTTCAAATATTCTTCTTATGGTGGTAAAGTTATGGAATTTTCAGAACTTCTTTGTTACTCTAAAAATTAAATATTACGGTTTATATAATCAAACAGTATATTGCCGAAACCAGCTGGAAAAACAAATCTATCAAAGCAGTCTCTATAATATTGACAATGTTTCTATCTTAGATGCGTGTTTATATTCATTTATTAGTACCACAATGTTTTAAATTATTTTACTTAACTATTTTATTTTTTTGCAGGAACAATGATGCGTTTCAATGTGCAGTATCTCCATGTTGTTTTGAATCAATGACAAAGTCATCAGATTTGATGTTAAATCCACACTGAACCGGAAGTTATACATAAATCACGTGCCATGGGGAGACGGGGTTACCAGAAAACTGTTTGTGGTACATTCCTTGTTGTGTCGTTTGTCTGGCTTTCAATCACCATAGTTATCGTGATGTACCACGAGGAACTGATGAAGTCGCGCAGACTTAGAGAATACAATCAAGAATACGAACATCTGGACGAAATGCATCATTTAGGGCCATACTTAGGCAATCAAAATTCTGGAAATGATCCTGATGATAATCATAATTCAAAACTTAAACATAATATCAAATATAATTATTTGAGAAATCTAACAATGAACAGAGATAGATTCAAGCTACCAAAATCAGTTGTAGGAAATGTGAACAACAATGATGTTTTAAACAATAAACCTTACATAAATGATATGCTGAATCAACCCCCGCGAAAAAAATCGCCATTTATTCAGAAATTAAAAGACAACGGTAATAAAATAGATCCTAAACTTGTTGACGAGGCTAAAGTTGGAGATGATACCAAAAGTGACTCTTACTATGAATCGACGGCGGAATCAAAGAATGAAAATCAAGACAAAGGGTCCGATTTAAAACCAGACGTTCCGGAAATTAATGATAACAAAGTTCCCGAGGCACCACACGAAGTAAATGAGAAACCAGCACCAGTTCCACGTGTAATCCAACAGGAACACCGAGAGGTAGAGAAAAGGGGATCAAAAGGCACTGAAACGAAACCACATAAACAGCAGGATCAACAGCAGAAAAACGCTCAACAGCCCGGGCAGGGAAATCAACAGCAAGAAAATCCGGAAGAAAAAGCTGCACAGATGATAGAAGCCGACCCGATGAAGCTGATCCTGCAGCAGATAAAGGACGTCATCAATAATGTTAATGGGGATAGTGAGTTGAATCAAGGGAACAAGAAGCTCCCGAAAAAGTCTAACGAGTCTGAAAACAAAAAGCAGGAGTTTGTCAATCCCTTGGGCTTAGATTTTGACGCTATCGAACCGCGAGCATCACCAGACGCCCCAGGTAGGATATTTTTACTAAATGATCACATGCAATAAATGAAATGTGTTATATAATTTCCATATATTATACTTGTACTTGAATGTTAAATAATGTATATTTTTCTATAGCAACAAAATGTCATGATTATTCATTTATCATATTCACAACCTTATTTAATCCCTATCTAATTATTAAATCATTATTAAAGTTGGATTTTAAGAGATATCAAATGCCCAACTCGTTGTTTGTCTTTTGCAGCTACAAAATCATATAATATTTAGAAATATGTATATAAGTTAAACACAAATTGGTTATAAAAATCAATTAGATGCAATTTACATTTATAATTTTCTTTTAAACATCCCATGATATGCAAGTATATTATAGATATCGAAAACAGATTTGTATGCTTAAAACTGAGTTATTCCTATTACAAACAATGTTCATGTTAAGACATTATATATCGATATACTTTCAAGACACGTCTACCAATCAAACTGGTGATAGTTATATATAGGATAAATTAGATTTGTTATCGAAATCACGTAAGATACATATGCTAACAAATATCAAATACATGTAATATGTTTTTCACAACTATACCAACTGGTTATAGATATTTTAATTACAGGAAGTAAAACATTTAACATGGTTATCTACATGAACCTTCAACGCACGCGAACTATATTTTACTAAATTTCCGGACGATTATATCTATTTACAGAATTTATGAATAAAGTTAAATTGGATATATATAAATCAGAACCATTGCCATCACAATATGTTTTAAAGGCTACAACCCCTACGCACCCACAAGCAAGAGTTTCCATTTTTAGAGAAATGCATATATTCCCTCGGATCAATGTTATGTTACTAGGTATCTATTTTGTGTTTTACAGGTGAAATGGGAAAGTCCTATGTGGTCCACACAAGAGACTTACCACCTGTCGAGAAAGAAAAATACGACAAGATGTTTGAACAGCATCAGTTCAATAAATATGTTAGCGACAAAATTTCCGTAAGAAGACGACTTCCGGATAAAAGAATTCAAAGGTAAAATTTTGTGGATTATATGATTCCGTGAATTATAGTGATATCACTAGCATACAGCGATTTAGTGACACACTACTAACATTGAGAAGTAGTGTTTCGCTTCCATAAAAGAACAATGCAGTGTACTTACAACAGAAGTTTTACATACATAAAGTGCTAACACAAACACACTGTGCTAACATATAGTGCTAACACAAGCACACTATACTAACATAAAGTGCTAACACAAACACACTGTGCCTACATAAAGTGCTAACACAAACACACTGTGCCTACATAAAGTGCTAACACAAACACACTGTGCTAACATATAGTTCTAACACAAACACACTGTGCTAACATGTAGTGCTAACACAAACATACTGTGCGAACATAAAATGCTAACACAAATACTGCTAACATAAAGAGCTAACACAAACACACTGTGCTAACATAAAGTGCTAACACAAACACACTGTGCTAACATATAGTGCTAACACAAACACACTATACTAACATAAAGTGCTAACACAAACACACTGTGCTAACATATAGTTCTAACACAAACACACTACACTAACATATAGTGCTTACACATTTATACACTTACAATATCAAATGGTAGTTCTTTGTCATTTAAAACGTATTTCTAGATATTGATATTTACAGACTTTGCCTTGAAGTACATTTGATGAAAAGTATACCATTTATAGGATCCCCTAAATATACTGGTATACACTTCTGAAAAGACATATATTATAAAACTCAATAATAGCATATACTTAGTCGATATTTTCTGTCTATTCATTGTTGTTATAGTAACCCATAATACAAAACTCTTTGTAACGTGTTACTTTCTCATTTGTTTTTACAAATAAATATTTTTAGCTCATGCAGTTGACATTGAACAAATCACCCAATATTTTATATCATAAAGTAAATATTGTGGACACATAACCAAGTGATACTGTACCGGTCATATGTTACAAGTTTAAAAAATGTGTTTTCCACAATCTGTGGAGGTTATGCATTTCACGTAAAGGGAACTTTGTGAATTTCTCCAATTTGTGCATCATACTACTGTATGACATCTACACTGTATTTAATCGATGTACTCATTGCCAGCTGTGGTCCTATCACATCGATTGCCGATGATATACATCACACATCATATAGCCTGGTAAATTAAGAAACCAACATTTTTTTTTTTTTATATAAAACGTTAATCGATATACATATACATACATATATTTGTGTCTACGGGATGTTTTCAGTTGCAAAGATGTGGTTTTTGACAAACCGTTACCAAGGACAAGTATCATCATCTGCTTTCACAATGAGGCTTGGTCCGTTCTCTTACGTACGATATGGAGTATCCTTGACAGATCACCGTTAAATCTGATAAAGGAAATCATTCTCGTCGACGACTTTTCTTCATTAGGTAAGAACAACTCATTTATACATTAATACAAATAAACAATGTATTATAGATTAGTTTTCTATTGTCTTAACGGTTTTATAGTTATTTAAAATTGCATTTGGCGGTTGGTTTAAGAACTACATTCTCAGTTTTTAGCTCACCTGGCACGAAGTGCCAAGTGAGCTTATGCCATGGTGCGGCGTCCGTCGTCCGTCCGTCGTCCGGCGTCAATATTTTACTTTAAACAACTTCTTCTCAATAACCAAGAGGCCTAGGATGATGCTGTTTGACCAGAAGCGTGCTGTAATAGAGGGCTACCAAGTTTGTTCTAATGAATGACCTTTACTTATATTCAAGGTCACAGGGGTCAAATATGTTTAAAACCTTTAAACAACTTCTTCTGTATTACCAAGAAGCCTAGGATAATGATATTTGGCCAGTAGCATGCTGGGATGAAGGACTACCAAGATTTTTCAAACAAATGACCTTTACTTATATTCAAGGTCACAGGGGTCAAATATGTTTAAAACCTTTAAACAACTTTTTCTCAATAACCAAGAGGCCTAGGATGATGCTATGTGACCAGTATCATACTGTAATAGAGGGCTACAAAGGTTGTTCAAATGAATGACCTTGACTTATATTCAAGGTCATGTGGGTCAAATATGTTTAAAACCTTTAAACAACTTCTTTTGAAAAAAACATGAAGCCTAGGATAATGATATTTGGTCAGTAACATGCTGGGATGAAGGGCTACCAAGTTTGTTCAAATGAATGACCTTGACCCACCTTCAAGGTCACAGGGGTCAAATGTGATAAATCTTCAAACGACTTCTTCTCAGTAACCAAAAAGCCCAGAATACTGATATTGGGCCTGTTGTATGCATGGATGAAGGGCTACCAAGTTTGTTCAAAAGAAAAACCTTGACCATTTTTCAAGGTCATAGGGGTTAAATATATTCAAAATCTTAAAACAACTCCTCTTCTGAATACCCAAGAGGCATAGGATAATGATATTTTGCCGGTAACATGCTGGGATGAAGGGCTACCAAGTTTGTTCAAATGAATGACCTCCATCTACTTTCTAGGTCACAGGAGTCAAATATGTTAACATCTTTTAAAAACTTCTTCTTAATAACCAAAAGGCCTTGGATGATGATATTTTGCCAGTAACAGGCTGGGATGAAGGGCTACCAAGTTTGATCAAACAAATGACCTTCATCTATTTTCAAGGCCACAGGGGTCAAATATGTTTAAAACCTTTACACAACTTCTCCTGAATACCCAAGAGGCATAGAACAATGATATTTGACCATGAGGTCTAGAGTGTTTAATCGTTTTTGAACACATATACCATTGTAGTTGCAGATTCGACTCTTCGTGTGAGGATCACCATATCGGCCTTAAAAACTGTATCGATACTGTACATATTGCGGGTTGCCCCTCAATAACAATGTCGACTGCCCGCGTTGAATTAAGTGTTATTAGCTCACCTGGTCCGAAGACCAAGGTGAGCTTATGGCATACCGTGGCGTCCGTCGTCTGTCGTCCGTCCGTCGTCTGTCGTCTGTACGTCAACAATTGCTTTAAATGACTTCTTCTTCTTAACCTGTGATTGGAATTTAACTAAATTTGACTGGAAGCATCCCTAGGTGGTGGGGATTCAAAATTGTACAAATAGTTTGGGTGACCCCCAGGGGGCTGAGGGCGTGGCCAAAAGGGGGCAATTAGGCTATATTGCTTTAAGCGACTTCTTCTCTGGAACTGAGTGATGGATATCAACCATATTTTATTGGCAGCATCCCTAGGTGGTGGGGATTCAAAATTGTACAAATCGTGGGGCCGACCCCTCAGGGGCTGAGGGGCGGGGCCAAAAGGGGGCAATTAGGCTTTATTGCTTTAAGTGACTTCCTCTCTGGAACTAAGTAATGGATATCAACCATATTGGACCGGAAGTATCCTTAGGTGGTCGGGATTCAAAATTGTACAAATGGTGGGGCTTAACCCCCAGGGGGCGGGCTGAGGGGCGGGGTCAAAAGCGGGCAATTTGGCTATGTTGCTTTAAGCGACTTCTTCTCTGGAACTAAGAGATGGATATCAACCATATTTGACTGGAAGCATCCCTAGGTGGTGGGGATTCAAAATTGTACAAATGGTAGGGCTGATGGGAGGGGCCAAAAGCGGGCAATTTGGCTATGTTGCTTTAAGTGACTTCTTCTCTGGAACTAAGAGATGGATATCAACCATATTTTACTGGAAGCATCCCTAGGTGGTGGTGATTCAAAATTGTACAAATGGTCGGCTGACCCCCAAGGGGGCTGAGGGGTTGGGCCAAAAGCAGACAATTTGGCTATATTGCTTTAAGTGACTTCTTGTCTGGAACTAAGCGATGGATATCAACCATATTTGTTTGGAAGCATCCCTAGGTGGAGGGGATTCAAAATTGTACAAATGGTGGGGCTGACCCCCAAGGGGGCTTAGAGGCGGAGCCAAAAGCAGGCAATTTGGCTATATTGCTTAAAGCGACCACTTCTCTGGAACTAAGAGATGGATATCAACCATATTTGACTGGAAGCATCCCTAGGTGGTAGGGATTCAAAATTGTACAAATGGTTGGGCTGGCCCCCAGGAGGCTGAGGGGCGGGTCCAAAAGGGGCCAATTTGGCTATATTGCTTTAAGCGACTTCTTCTGTAGAACTGTGCCATGGATATCAACCATATTTGGTCGGAAGCATTCATGGGAGGCAGGGATTCAAAATTGTACAAATTTTGGGGTTGACCCCCCGGGCTTAGGACTGGGGCCAAACAAAGTTTATTACTTGGAAATGGTTGAGATCCCCACCGTATAACCATATAAACCATTGCTGAGTATAAAGAGAAGAATGCACAGTTGCTTCCAGGATGGCCATAGGGTCTGTCCCCACCATTGGAGACATAGTCCCTGGGTCATAACTTTGAAACAGTTGAGATCCACTCCCCAAAACTATATACTAGTATACAAATGTTGGGCATAAAGTGACGAATGCAGTCATGATATTAGAGTAGACCCTGGTGTCTGACCGAACCCCTAGGGACCTAGTTTCTTAGTCACTGCTTGGAAACAGTTGAGATCCCCACCCTATAACCATATATACAATTGCTGAGCATAAAGAAATGAATGCACATATGCTTCCAGGATGGCCTTGGGGTCTGCCCCACCCTTGGAGACTTAACCCCGGTTTATGACTTCGAAATGGTTAAGATCCCCACCCCAAAACTATATATATAAATGCTGGGCAAAAGGAGATGAATGCATTATTGATATTAGAATTGATCCCATGGTCTGCCCCACCATTGCAGACACTAAACCCTTGGGTCATAACTTTGAAACGGTTGAGATCCCCACCCCAAAACTATAAATACAAATGTTGGGCAAAAAGAGACGAATGTAGTCATGATATTAGAATTGATCGTGGGGTCTGGCCACAACCTATGGACCTAGTTTCTGAGTCACAGCTTGGAAACAGTTGAGATCCCCACCCTATAACCATACATAAAATTGCTTGGCATGAAAAATCTAATACAGATATGCTACAAGGATTGGCCTTGGGGTCTGGCACAATCCCTTGGATCTCATTTGGAGAATATTTTGCCATGATTGCTTAGATATTCAGGTGAGCGATGCAGGCCTTCTGGGCCTCTTGTATTTGTAAAAGAATATAATAGAAATCGGATAGACATCCTTGTCACAACTGTTCACCAAACAGCAGTACTAATCGTCTGTAAGCGATGGATAGCAATGATATGATCTTAACATCTTTAGGACGTCTACAACAAATTGAGGATTTGTTAATACAAACGATACAAAGCTGATAGACATTACTCGTACTCTTTACATCCAATATTCGATTGGTCAGGTAGGATGAATCATTTATATGTGTATTTCATTTATGACTTTTATTTGTTTCAAAATTTTAAGGTGATGGTGAACACCTTGTCATATCATTATAAAAACAAGGGATACATTGCTGATGTTATCGTTACATCTGCAATTTAACTTGATTGCGATCGTGATCTCTTTACGTGTATCTTAACTTAATGCCATTGAGGAGTTTCAAATCCAAACTTGGTACTCCCATTTATGGACTGAAAACATCATTTTCATATTTATGTTGCATTCAAATGTGTTTACAAACTATTTATCTTAGATGTTCATCTTTGAGAAATGATTGAAAAGTTAGCGCAATTTAGATACACACTGTTCTTATTTGAATGGGCAAAACAATGGTACAGAATATTTTGGAAATAATATCTGAGTTAAATGAACTTCACAGCAATGTAGTCATGGAGATGAAGTGGCGCTGTCTCGCGAACATAATGGAGATCATCATTCGAAGTTTACTTAATTAAACCTGTCAAAAGGATGACTCCAGTCGTTTTTATAGAGAAAACAATATCTGTTTAGATACGACAAGTGGGGAGAAGGGATGTCATCAACAACACTGTGCGGGATTTAAAGCAAAATTGTCAACATTCTGCCGTAATATTATAACAGGAACAGCACGTGTAATGTTATCATCTTCAGGAGGGATCTTGTACTGTTAAAATGTTATAAATGTATAAGAATTCATTAATTATAATATCTTACATTGTAAGAAACAATATTAAGGTAAATGTTTATATTGACAATATTTCAAAGAATATCATCAACATGTTATAATAAATTATTTAAACGAATGTTGCCGAGTGTATAGGTGTTGATGGATATTATAGAATATTTTGTTTTATGTCTTTATTTGAACTTTGATTGAGCAGCCACCTGTCTTAAGCAGGCAACATGATAATCTACCGTAGTTGACCGCTTAGTACAGGTTTGACAGGATATTTGAACGGAACTCTATTGTATACCAACACAAAAACAACAACGATTATCCCGTTTAACTTTATGATTCGTTTCTTTTGTTTTATGACGCATTTAGAGAAACACTTTCGGATTAATTGAACAGAATTGTATTAGTTTGCAATAAAAATGGGAAGGCATTCTCTTGTCATAGATCTTTAAATTATGCTTGGTATCATTTCGAGTGGGTATGTCTATTAAGAGCCTGTGAATATAACGTGCTCTTAAATACTGACAGGCGAATTGAAAAAGCCCCTAGAAGACTACATGGCTCAACTGAAGATCGTGAAGATTGTGCGAACAAAGAAGAGAGAGGGATTGATCCGAGCCCGGTTGCTAGGCTACTCTGTCGCAACAGGGGAGGTTCTCACCTTCTTAGATTCCCACTGTGAATGTGTTTTCGGTAAGTGATTTATTTCTCTGTGAAAACACAACGACGGATAAAAAATTCCGGAACATCCTGTTTCGTCTCCGGTTTTCATGACTTACTTCAGTTTGAATTTGATGCATCCGTGATTCATGTTGTTATCGTTTTGCATTGACTTCGAGATACGAATTCTCAAAGTTCCAGTGGTTGCGCTCACTTCCTTTCTATGCATTCCTGGAATATGCCATGAAAAATCAAAGGCACGCTATTAGCTGTTTGATTTGTTTTATGTGAAAAGAACTGACCAACCGCTTTGTAATCCGAGTTTCCTCTGGCCCTGACACAATACTTTTGACACCTGACATCTGGTCAAAATGTCTTAGTCTGGTGTCGGGGTCAGAGGAAACTCTGTCTAATCGCTAGGCTGATTCATCATAAATGATATTCATAAATGTGCCTGAAAGTTAGTTATCTCTACTCTACCAGTATTGACTGTATTCGTTTTCGCCCCTGTCAGAAAATATCTGCCATGCTATTACATTGCTTTCTCCCACACCTGACAGATTTATCTCCCGTTTTGCCGGTGCTAGATTTATCTGTCTCCCCCCTAGGGTTGAGACGGGGGGATTCCCCTATTCATAACAATGGCATGGCGTCACTTCAACAATACAATGACGTCACGTCAACAATCCATCAACAAATTGCCTGTATGTGTTTTGGGTCCATGTTTACCTTTATTTCACATTAAAATACTGTTAGATATGGGAGAAAAATAATCAATCGCTACTGCTTGTGTAAGATAGAGAAATCTCAACCCTCGGACTAAGATTTTTTGTCCAGAACTCGGCAAGCCTCGTTCTGGACAAAAAAAATTAGTCCTCGGGTTGAGATTTCTCTATCTTACACAACCAGTAGCGATAGATTCTATTAGTAACCCGCCCTCATATAAACCCAAAACAAAACAGAACAAAAACATAGTTGTAAAAGAGGTTTGAACTTTTTCAAATTGTTGGAATATAACACCAACATGAATGTCTCGTTTCAAATTATGTTTATCGTGGATTCCAAATATTATTCGTTTTCGTTTGTTTATTATGTTGTACGTCTGCACAACAACACCTCTTTACGTGTCTTTAAACTCTCTCTAATTTGAAGGCTGGCTAGAGCCAATGTTGACGAGAATAGCAGAAAATCAGACTCGAGCCGTCGCTCCCGTTATTAACTCTATCGGACACCATGCGTTTGGAGTTGATCAACATGAGGCTCGTGACGTGGGAATTGTTCATCTTGATACACTCTCCTTTCATTGGGGCTTAATACCAAAACGAGAAACACAGCGTCGGACGTCGCCCACGGAGCCATACAGGTCAGTCACAACTTAAGGGTTTTAGTTACGTTTTCACAATTCAATGAGCGGTTTGCTATGTCATTGTGTGTCCAGTTAAATGGAATGTTTGACAACAAATTATAAAATTGTTGTATAATGTCTATCAAATATATTTAGTTTGATCAGGATAGTAAAATTATGCATTAATTTATTTTTCAATTCCCATTTACATTAACGCATGATTACTCTGCAACATCTATGTTGATGTAATTGTGTAACTAGAATTTATTCGTTCACATTTTCCATGAAATATAAGCCTTAGAGTAAATGATCTATTTTACACTTACGTCGTAAATGTGTAACATTTTAAGTGGTTTATAGGCACATTTTACTGTGTGCTGCGGTATTGTGTTCTTAGTTTGGAACGCTTCAGATATGGGTTTTCATTCATATGACCTGATGAATCTGAATTGGACGAAATGGCCATTTGGCGTAGAAAAACCTTTTTGCTTTGCAAAGGATTTTTTTTTTAAATATGTGTTCCTTTAATGTATTACTTATTATAAACTAGAAACATATTTCGGCATTCTATTTCGGTTAAATACTTCCCCTGTATCTTTCCGTTATTCCCTTACTGACGATACTACGTTATTGGTTCCAGGTCCCCAACAATGGCCGGCGGTATATTTTCTATTTCCAAGGAATATTTCGCGCATTTAGGATTGTACGATGCTGGTATGGAGATTTGGGGTGGAGAAAATTTAGAGATGTCTTTCAGGGTGAGTTTGTAATTATTTCTCGGAGAAATAAGTAAATGTTTTCATATGTAATACATGTATTTCAATTGACACCTCAGAGTAATATCATATCTAAACGAAGAAATAGTTAAGAGACTTTTAATTAATTTATTTAGCTTCATTAAGCGTAAATAACAGTTTTAATTAAATAATATTGTGGTTCTCTGAGAATCGGCATAAATATATTTATTTTATGACCAAATAAAATTCTATCAATTTAAGCTGGATGAATGTTAAAAATACAAAGTGGTACATGTTTTATATTTATAGATATGGACGTGTGGTGGTTCAATAGAGCTACATCCATGCTCACACGTGGCCCACGTGTTCCGGTTTAAAAGCCCGTACAATTGGGGTAGAGACCCCCAGTTGATCCTAAAGAAGAACACTATACGTGTGGGAGAGGTGTGGCTGGATGAATATAGGTTCCATTACTACGAAAATCATCAGTACAGACTGGTAATGAAGCACATTCTATTTGTTGATGGTTACTACAAACGTACATAGCGGCGGGCACATCTTAGCGCTGATTATTATAAAACAGTCTCAGGTGCGCGTATAATACAATCCCGTTTACAGTTTATCGTGAAATGTGTAACCCGTACCTACTCTAGCCCTTCGGTTTTCGATGATATATATTAATATCTGTGACATTATAAACTTGTTTGTAATTCTGCTAAAGGTTAGTAATAAACTATGTTATGTAATCATGTTCGATGTTGGTATAAAAGAAAGACACGTTAAGCTGAAGATAGAAAGAAAGGAATATGTGTTTTGCTATATGGAACTCCCCTGTGTAGTTATAAAGACTGATTTCAGCAATATATTGGGTTTTTTCAAATACTTTGATGAAACAATACACTGCCGACAACTAATAACGCGGTTATTCAGGACAATAATACTGAAGTCCGTATTGACACATATGAATGTACAGTATTGTTTTCATATATCATTTGTTGCCCTGTTGATACCACCGAATTTTTAATTATCATAATGCACGTTTTATTCCCATCCATTCCTGTCATACCAGTAATCTAATCCAATCATCGTGTGTTTTCCAGGGTAATTTCGGTGACGTGTCGGAGAGAAAGGCATTAAGACAAAGACTACAATGCAAACCATTTTCTTGGTATATCGAAAATGTCTACCCAGAAATGACAATTCCAGAACCAGTTCTTTATTCTGGGGAAGTAAGTGAATCATCGTCGTTAGTGTTGTTGCAGAAGGGTTTCAGACGCCCTTCCCCTTTAATGATCTTGTGATTCTGCGAGATCATACAGTCATTAAGTACGAGAACTACTTACTGGGTCCCCAATTTCCTAACAACCTACTGTGTGTCCCCCATTTCTTAACTATTTACTGTGTGTCCCCCATTTCTTAACTACTTACTGTGTGTCCTCCATTTCTTAACATTTCTTAACAACCTACTGTGTGTCCCCCATTTCTTAACTGCTTACTGTGTGTCCCCCATTTCTTAACTACTTACTGTGTGTCCCCCATTTCTTAACTACTTACTGTGTGTCCCCCATTTCTTAACAACTTACTGTGTGTCCCCCATTTCTTAACTACTTACTGTGTGTCCTCCATTTCTGAACTACTTACTGTGTGTCCGCCATTTCTTAACTGCTTACTGTGTGTCCCCCATTTCTTAACATTTCTTAACTACTTACTGTGTGTCCCCCATTTCTTAACTACTTACTGTGTGTCCCCCATTTCTTAACTACTTACTGTGTGTTCCCATTTTCTAAACAACTTAGTGTGTGTCCCCCATTTCTTAACTACTTACTGTGTGTCCCCCATTTCTTAACAACTTACTGTGTGTCCCCCATTTCTTAACTACTTACTGTATGTCCCCCATTTCTTAACTACTTACTGTTTGTCCCCCATTTCTTAACTACTTACTGTGTTACCCACCTTTCTTAACTTCTTACTGTGTGTCCCCCATTTCTTAACTACTTACTGGGTGTCCCCCATTTCTTAACAACTTACTGTGTGTCCCTCATTTCTTAACTACTTACTGTGTGTCCCCCATTTCTTAACGACTTACTGTGTGTCGCCCATTTCTTAACAACTTACTGTGTGTCCCCCATATTTTAACTACTTACTGTGTGTCCCCCATTTCTTAACTACTTACTGTGTTACCCCCCTTTCTTAACTTCTTACTGTGTGTCCCCCATTTCTTAACTACTTACTGTGTGTCCCCCATTTCTTAACAACTTACTGTGTGTCCCCCATTTCTTAACTACTTACTGTGTGTCCCCCATTTCTTAACAACTTACTGTGTGTCCCCCATTTCTTAACTATTTACTGTGTGTCCCCCATTTCTTAACTTCTTACTGTGTGTCCCCCATTCCTTAACAACTTACTGTGTGTCCCCCATTTCTTAACTACTTACTGTGTGTCCCCCATTTCTTAACAACTTACTGTGTGTCCC